AAGGAAGGGGGAGGGGGGAGGGAGGGAGGGAAGGAGATAATTTGCCCACTGCCTGGCAGTTAGTTAAGAAAACTCTCACTGCTGTTCTTGCCATCATTAACTTCAGGGTCACTTGAAGGCTTTGGACATCTTTGCTCCTCTCTAATTAATTTGCCTCGCTTACCACTGAGAACAAGGTGACAGAGTGTGTTGGATGGAGTAGGAAGAGAGAAGGTCAGATGGGGTCAGAGGGCTGGCAAGAAAGGGCTTCTCAGTCGACAGTTCTGATAGAACACCTCTTCTCTACCAAGGAGGGCAACGTCCTTGAGCAGTGTTAGCAGCTGGGAGAAATGAACAAGAAACCAAAAGGAAGGGAATCTGCATTATTAAAAACTCAGAATTTTATGTCATTTTACAAAGAGCTCAATGTAATTTTCATGTCTTGCTTTGACAATAGTCCTATGAAGTAGACAAGAAAAAATAAGAATGTTCTGGAAGAGGAAAATGGGGAATTATTGAAGCTAAGGGGCCTAAGATCATGTAGCTCATCAGGATATTCCTTAATATGATCACGTGGTGGGGGCAGTGTTACCTGTGTCCTTTCCCGTTGCTTCCCAGCACATGCACATGCCCAGGAAGTGTCTGTGGACCAGCTGCATGGATGTCAGATGTGGCCCTGTCTCTCTTCAGTTCCATCTTCTGACCGACAGATACTCTTCCAGGCAGACCATGCTGTGTCTACAGGCCTGAATGATGAAATGCATGGATTTATCAGATAGCTGATAGCTGTTAATAACCTGAATGGGGGGGGGTGAACAGCTGCTATGACCCCATGTGAAGTCAAGAAGAAACTGGAAACATAAGCTGATGAGACGGAAACAGAGGGATTTATGGAGATACCGGCAGGCAGCTCTGTGTGGCACAGAAGGCTCAGTGAGGCCGTGGCAGCTCTTTTCTGGAAGTAGTCAGGTTTCTAAAAACAGTGAAGCCTCACATCTTGGTGGCTGGTTCATGTGCTGCTGGAGCCCAGGTGCCACATAGGGTCAGTGACCTTCTACACAAGTCAGGCAAGGACTGGAGTGTGCCTTGGCCGACACTGTTTACATGTAGAGCTTTGAACAGGACCAGTGAGATGGCACATCAGGTAAAATACTCAGAGCCAAGCCTGACTGATCTGAGTTTGATCCCTGGGCCCCACCTGGTAGAGAGAACTAACTCCTGCATGTTGTCCTTTGACCTCTAAAAAATTGGAATTACAAATGTATGGTTTACCAAAGCCCAATAGGCCCAATCAGCCCGTTGTTCTCTTCTGTCTGGGAGGATCTCTTCTGTGAGGACAGCTCAGTAGCCCAGCCATTGTCTAGGTGACCCAACACAAATCTTTTTCTTCATTAAGTCCATTGTATGGTTCCAGGAAAAGCGTGCAATGTCTTTTTTTTATTAATGTGTATGAGCGTAATGCCTGCATGTAGGTAGGTGCACCCCATGTGCGATGCCTGTGGATGTCAGAAGGAGGTGTCAGATCCCCTGGAACTGGCTTTACGGATTGTTGTTAGTCAACATTTGGGTATTGGGAATTGAACCCAAGTCCTCTGCAAGAGCAGTCAGTACTCCTAACTGCTGAGCCATCTCGCCAGCCTGTATTCGATGTCTTTTACCTTTCTACTAGCCCTGCATTTAAAAGTTATGACCACTAGAAAATACCAGCCAAGACACGTCACAGGATGTAAAAGAACGCCTCTCAAGTGATGAACAGGCTCACATTCAGACTGGACCTCTTACCCAGGGCCCCCGGGATGAGCTGTGTCTGCTGCTGGTCTGAACTCAGAACGTCCTCAAAACCTCTGCTCGTTCCTTTTAAAGACACTTGTGTTTCTGAGTTAAGGAAGAAGTTTGAAATGTGACTATCCTCATCCACAGACATCCAGATGACAGGACTTTTTCCTCTTGCTGACACGGAGGAATGAGCGTGCCCTGCCCTTAAAGACCTCCCACCTGCACAGTCTTCCCAGCTCTTCTTGGTCTTGGGTCTCCATCAGGGCAGCTCTTGACACCTCCTTCCAGGTGACAGCCTGGCAGCCAGCACCTGTGGGCCTCTTACTCCACTTCCAAGCCTTTCCTTTCCTAAAAATAAAAATATTGTTATTATTATTATTCTTAACAGAGCATAGGGTAGTGGTTTATTTATAGAAGAGTGGGTGCCCCACATTTATGGCTATGCAGTAAAGTCCACACTCAAATACTTGACAGCCACACAAAATGATGAGAGAGGTGCCTCTTGGTGTTCTCAGCTTCTATATCCTTTGCCCCTCCCCGCATGCAGCTAAATTCTACTGATTGGGCAGAAGGGGCAACTGACCCCCACCTCGACTCCTTGATGAGTGTAAGAAGGAGGTGTGACTATAACTTGCTGGCATAGTGGTCGGAGGAAACTTCCAGTTAACACTCCACCCCTTCCTCCGCCTCTTACATTCTTTCTGCCAACCTCTTCCACAAAAGTCCCTGAGCCTTGGAGGGGTGGTAAGTGTGGGATGATCTTCCTCCAGTTGTGGAAAGACACTGAACTGTCAGGTCTCTGCATCATCTGTTTTCCATGGACTGTTGGCCAGTTTCAGTGGGATTCCATCTACTATACAAGCACACACAGCAAGAAGCAAGAACATCTAAACAGTGACTGCTATAATAATTTAGCATATGGGTAGGTGTAACACAAATGCTTGGTCAGTACTTTAGCAGGTGAATCATTTCCATCTAACAAAGCAATTGCAGTGACTTCCCACTGGGGCCTGTATCCTCCCCTGCCACAGGGGGTTGGCCTGATCTACACAGTACCAGATGTGTTCCAGCCCTAGGAGCGGGCATTATATCCAGTCAAAAATGTGCTGGTTGTACATACATTAGATGCTCCACTATTTCACCAGAAGGACCATCTTGTTTGGTATGTTGACAGTGCGACATACAGGGGCCATCGTTTAGGAGAATTATAGGGGACTGTTCTCTAGTCATCCATGTGTTGCCTTTTGGAACCATGAAAGCCACCCATCCAGTAGCAGGGAGTTTCCAGCTTAGTCCAAGTTTGGTTTCTCCCCCTCCTGTGCTCGTGTCATGCAGTGTCTTCAGCAATAGAGTTTTCCATCCACTTCCAGTGTACAACCAGTATTATTGGCATTGGCCTTTATTGTTTTGGGGGCTTCTAGTGTCCCTCAGGCCAACAGCTCACAGGGGACAACCCACATCTGGCACTGGGATTTTCATTTAACAACTGTATTGCTTTTTGGAAGGGCTTTCCTCCATCCCTGTAGGGTTCCTTCTGTGCTTACGGCTTTTTTTTTTACTGTGTGTCTGGAGAATTTTTTCCTCTTTATTCCCACAGCTATTGTACAGACCTCCTCCCCCTCCCTTTAACTACCCCCTTTACATATTTCTCCCTTAATAACACCTTTATCCTGCTAATCTTCTCTCTCAGGTTCCTTCTTTCCCTTTACCTCCCTGTTTTCCTTCCATATTCCTGGTCCCTTCAGTTGCATCAGGATATGCACTCACTCATAAGGATTTGGTGCTAGGATCCACATATGAGGGAGAACATATACATGTCTTTTGTTTTTCTGAGTCTGTGTTACTTCACTTAGTATAACAGTTTCTAGATCCATCCATTTACCTGCAAATTTCATTATTTCATCTTTCTTGTGTAAATGTACCACATTTCTGTTAACCACTTGTCAGTTGAGGGGCACTTAGGTTGCTTCCATCTCTTAGCTATTGTGAAAAGAGCAGCAACAAACATGGTTGTACAAGTGTCTCTACAGTAGGATGAGTCCTTTGGGTATATGCCAAGGAGTGGTATAACTGGGTCATATGGTAGGTTCATTTGTAGTTTTTTAAGAGTTCTCCACACGGTTTTCCATAGGGGTGGCATGAGTTTGCAATCCCACCAGCAGTGGATGAGCATTCCCTTTTCTCCACATCCTCACCAGCATTTGGTATCATTTGTTCTCTTGATCCTAGCCAGTCTGGTTGGGGTAAGGTGATACCTTAGGGTGGTTTTAATTTGCATTTCCCTAATTACCACACTTTTTGAGATGTTTCTTAGCCATCTTTATTTCTTCCTTTGAGAACGCTCTGTTTAGATCTTTAGCCCATCTTTTAATTGGGTCGTTTGGCTTTTCGATTCTTTGTTTTTGAGTTCTTCATATATTCTGGATGTTAAACCTCTGTCAGCTGTGTCACTGGTGAAGATTTTTTTCCCACTCTGTGGGTTTTCTCTTCACTCTCTTGATTGTTTCTTTTGCTGTAGAGAAGGTTTTTAGTTTAATGAGGGCCCGCTTGTTGATTATTGACCTTAATTCCTGAGTAACTGCTGTCCAAATCCTTTCCTACACCTAAATCTTGTAAGTTACTGCCAATATTTTCTTATAGTTTCAGGGTTTCCAGTTTCACATTGAGGTCTTTGATCCATTTGGAGTTGACTTTTGTGCAAGGTGAAAGATAGGGATCTAGTTTCATTCTTCTACGTGTGGAGATCCAGTTTTGCCAGCACCATTTATTGAAGATGCTGTCTTTCCTCTTATTGAGTTTGTAGCACTGGTTGGTCTAGGTTTCAGGTTCTCTCAGATTTTATTTTGGAGGGAACTGATGGCTTCAGATCAGCTACTTGGGAGTTCCCACAGAAGCCCGAGTCAGTCTTAGTCCCGTACACTCGGGCTTCCTTCTAACCTTTGGACCCCTACCAGTGTGTACTCAGAGCACAGTTTGGGAAGTTCCCTAAGGGGAGGCCTGATTTGGGGACTCTACGGCAGTCTGCTGAGTTCTCAGCCCCTACACTAGGCAGAAGCCAGATCAGATGCTCTCAGGTGGTCTGTCTGCTCAGTGTCTAAACCAGACTGAGGCCAGAACAGCCACTCTCAGACTGTCTGCTAAGGTCTCAGCCTTACTCTACCTTAGGGCAGAGGTCTGCCATGGTGCCGTGGGAGGGACCTCAAGCAATCCCAGTTAGGGGGTTGGGGCACTGTTGTGTCTCTGCAGGACAGTGCAGGATGAGGCACTGTGTTTCTCTCTGAAAGCAAGGTTGGTGTGATCCCCTCACAGCCCCTTTGAACATCATGGTGTCATTTCTGTTTCTCCAGAAACATGGAAATGGCCAGGCAGCCAGCGTGCCAGAATGCAATGCCCCGGCCCTCATGGAGCTCCTGCGGGAGAAGGAGGAGAGGATCCTGGCCCTGGAGGCCGACATGACCAAGTGGGAGCAAAAGTACCTGGAGGAGAGCACCATCCGGCACTTTGCCATGAGTGCCGCAGCCGCTGCCGCAGCCGAGAGGTGAGACACTGCCCACACTGTAGTCCCAGTGTCCAGGGGACTGAGGCAGGAGGAATCCAAAGACAGTTTGGACTGCAGAGCTAGACTTTGTCCAAGAAACATATAAAAAATCAAGGGGTCCAAGGAGGTCTAGAGGCCTATCCCAGGGAGCAAGGTTAGTGAAAGGTGATTTTTTTTGAGTGTGTATTTTATGTATTTGTGTGAGTGTGAATGTGTACATGCCACAGAACATGTGTGGGGCTCAGAGAACAACTTTCAGCATCAGCCCTCGCCTTGCACCTTGTCTGAGACAGGGTCTCCTTGTCGCTTCTCTACTACGTACACGAGGCGAGCTGGCCCCCAAGCTTCTGACACTCCTATCTCCACCTCCCACCACACTGTAGGGTGCCCTGGGATTGCAGACACTCGTGCCCCTGTGCCTTGGTTTTGCAGACACACGTGCCCCTGTGCCCTGGGATTGCAGACACTCATGCCCCTGTGCCCTGGGATTGCAGACACACGTGCGCCTGTGCCCTGGGATTGCAGACACTCCCGCCCCTGTGCCTGGGGATTGCAGACACTCCTGCCTCTGTGCCCAGGGATTGCAGACACTCCTGCCCCTGTGCCCTGGGATTACAGACACGTGCGCCCCTGTGCCCAGCTTTACATGGCTCCTGCGGACTCTAATTGAGGTTGTAAGACTTCTTTGGCAATTGCTCTACTCACTGAGCTGTTGGCCCCGCCCACGACAGTGTCTTTAAAGCTGTGGTGCTACTTGAAGACTCCTGCTGCAGCCGTTGTGGAAGGCAACTTTGGTTATGGGTACCTTCCCTGTGGTGCCAAACTTCTAGACTGAGACATTCTCCTCAAGGAACACGTGGAGAAGTGCCTGAAGAGCCGTGCATCCCCGAGTTGCTGAAAACAGCCAGGAGTCCTTCCACATAGTGGAATACCTTGTGATCTTTGAGTGACGTTAGGAAAGTGGACTTTGTGGATTTTTTTTAACACTGGGGCTGTAGCCTGGGTCGGGCAGAAGGAACATACAGCCCTCACAGCAGCCCTGACGTAAGTGTTATTCTTACCCTCACTTTAATGGGAAGAAAATGAGGTCAGAGGGCTAGAAAGATGGCTCGGTGGTCAAGAGCACTTGCAGCTCTTACAGAGGACCCAAGTTTGGTTCACAATAGTCTGTAACTCCAATTCCAAGGGATTCGGTGCCTTCTTCTGACCTCTGCAGGGCTGTGTGTGCATATGGTGTACATTTTACATGCAAGCAAATACTCATACATATAGAATAGAAATAAATATTTTTAAAAAGAAAGTGAGGCTGAGAGAGGTACAGTGGTTTGTTCCCAGTCTGCTGGTAGTAGATGTTGGGCTGTGGGGTCATGTCGAGATCTGACTTAAAACCCAATTAGCAGCTGGGCGTGGTGGGCACACTTTTAATCCCAGTACTCCGGAGGCAGAGGCAAGCAGATCTCTGTGAGATCAAGGCTAGCTTGGTCTACATAGCAAGTTCCAGGTGGAGCTACAAGGAAACCTTGTCTCCAAAAAACAAGGGGGTCTGGAGAGGTGGCTTAGCTGTTAAAAGTACTGGTTGTTCTTGCAGAAGACCTGGGTTTGAATCCCAGCACCCACATGGCCACTAACAACTGTCAGTAACTCCAGTTCTAGGGGATCTGACACCTTCTTCTGATGTCTTCAGGCATTGCTCAACATGAGTGCACTTACATACATAAAGGCAATACACTTATATCCATAAAACTAAAAAAATTAATTTAAAAAATATTTGAGGCTGGGTGTGGTGGCACATGCCTTTAATCCCAGCACTAGGGAGGCAGAGGTAGGCGGATCTTTGTGAATTCGAGGCCAGCCTGGTCTACATAGTGAGTTCCAGGACAGCTGGGGCTACAGGGAGACCCTGTCTCAAAAAGACTAAATATATATATATATATATATATATATAAATATTTGAAAACAAACCCCGATTAGCTTCACTTGGAGACTTATCCGCTCTTGCTGTGGCTTTCCTTTCTCTCTGTAGGGGCAGAGCCTTACCCTTCCTTTAACTGTTAGCTCAGAATGTGCTGGAATCCAGAAACAACTCCAAAAGACTGTTCAGAAGGAGTGAGGCAGTTAGTTCCCCGGGGTGGTGGGGGCCAGGCGGGACTGCCATCCACACTTGGGGGCTGGGTGTCAAGGTGGGACCATCCCTCCCTGCCTTTCCCTCCCTCTCTTCTCTATTTGCATTGGGTCCTGAAGTCATACTGGGCATTCAGAGTTCAGCATAATTTAGGGTCAGAGTATCACAGGAACATCAGAAAGCTGACATCTTAATACATAGGCTGATGCTGTTCTGTTTGGGATGATGGGGCGTGAGCCAGGCCAGGGGCTGAAAACAGAGACTGCAGCTGCTTTCCAGGCCATTCCCTGCAGCCCTGGGAGGTGGCATTGCTTCTCTGATGGGTTTGCAAAGGCCTTCTGGGATGGCAGGAGACTTTCTAAGCTATTTGTGGGCTCCTGATCACTTCTCAGGCAGAGGAGCCCCAGCTGGGGTGAGAAGGCCTGTGTGGGCTCAGATGCCTGCCTTGACCCCAAGCAAGCTCACACCTGGGAAAGAGTGACGCTTTGGTTCATTTTCTAGCTTGTATGTGTTGTATGTGCCTGGGCTTAGAGGAAACGGTCCATGGTGTCCATTAGAGCAGGGTCCAGGAGAAGAAGCAGATACCCAGGAATTGTGAGGTGAGACGTCAGGAGCAGGTGCAGCTGCAGCTCGTGAGGACAGCAATGTCAATGATTGGGAAAGGTTTGAGTTTTACTAAAGTGAAATAAAGTTGTTATCCTCGGCCTCATGCTTTTGAAGCCAATGAGAGTCATCACCCTATTCTGAGGAGAACAGAAATGGGAATTTGGTTTTCTGGAGCAGATTTAGGCTACCCTTTTCACTGCTGGGCCTGGGAACTCCCTTTCATGAGGGGAGCACTGCACAGGGAGGCAGGATACCTGCCTCTGCCACTAACAGTGGGTGTGTGATCTGGGACAAGCCCCACTGAGCGCCCCTGGCCTCATACAGGAAATGGAATTTTAACTCTGGTTATGAGCAAACCACATACCAGCCTCTGTGGACACGGAGCCCCTATAGTGTGAGTGCGTAACCTAGGGGTGTCACAGTGGACTTCATGGATTTCTGTCCTCTGTCAGATTAGGTATCTCTCAGGGATCCTGGGCATTGAGGGGGTAAAGGAGACTGAAATGGGCAGCCAGAGGTCTGGGACGCTCTGTAAACAGTAAGTGTGTAAACAGTTAGTGTGGTGAGCACAGGAGCATAGGAGATGTGTGGGAGGCCGAGACTGCAGACACATGTTCTAGGCATAGCTCTTTCCTCGTCCTCTGACAAGGGGAGATGGGGGTTTGTTGGGGGTTCCCTGCCCTGCTGTTCTCCTGCTCTGCTCTCCTTGGAAGTCCTGGGTGGGATCCTTTCCACCATTCTTTTCTGTGTCCCCTTTCTCTTTTTCTGTGTTATTTTATTGAGTATTTGTGGGGAAGCCACTGTCCCTATAGAGCTTAGCCTATCCACAATCAGAGTAAGAGTCGGGGTGGCGCAGAGGCACTCGCACACCTAGCTCCAGTCTAAGGAGAACCTTGGTCCTGGGGCTGGAGAGATGGTTCTGTGGTTAAGAGCCGTTGCTGTTCAGAGGACCAGGATTCAGTTTCCAGCACCTACATGGCAGCTTACAACTGCCTGTTGAGCAGACCCTAGGCTCTCTTCTGACCTCTGTGGGCACCATGCCATGTGCGTGTGGAAAAGCCATGCACACAGACATATATACGTATACAATACACATAAATAAAAACAAAACAAACCCTTAATACAAAGACACCACACACACACACACACACACACGCACACACCCCTTGTTACTCTGGCATGGCTTTTTTGAAGGTACAAGGGACAAAGGGACACGGGCTCCTTTTTGAGAAGGGTTGGCATTCAGAGCATAGGTGACCCCTGACCCCT